CGAGATATTGGTCGTTTTCATCCCAGCGGCGCACAAATATGTTTGTATTAGTCATATATTACTTATAAGCGTAGCTAAAAAAAAAAAAAAAAAAGTTCACGCACTTCAAAACCTAACCACTTTTTCGTTTTATTCTAAAAAAAGGTTACGCAATCAGTGCAGTATGCACTAACATTTTTGGGTGCAACCGTAGGGTAATAATCACAATGGCCAATTTCTAGCCATAGATTAATGGCGCGGCGCACTCGGGTGGTGGGAGTAAACATCTCGAGATATCTCGAGTGATCTCAATAATCGAGTATCACTCGATTTTTCACTCGAAATCTCCCATCACTAATTGTCGATTACCATCAATAACCTAAAAATAGGTTATGTTTTATAATTTGTTTGTTCACGGTGGATTAATAAATGTAATTATTGATTCTTGCTGAGTGTAAACATTTTATTAGCTGTTTGAAATGACCGACTCTGCGATTGAGTTAAAAGCTAAATATGATCGAAAAATTTTTAAGGCTTCTGCAAATCAAATCCCAGAATCAATACGCAATGATCCAATTTTAAATGAAGCAATCAAAGCATTACCGAAAAATTATGAGTTCGAAATTCATAAAACGATATTTCGAATAAAACAATTAAAAGCGAAGACTGTTGCTCTCCAGATGCCTGAAGGACTCCTACTCTTTGCAACTACCATTGCAGATATCGTAAGAGAATTCACAGGAGCGGAAACATTGATAATGGGAGATGTTACCTATGGAGCCTGTTGTATAGATGATTTAACAGCTAGAGCACTGGGTGTTGAACTATTAGTACATTATGGACATAGTTGCTTGGTTCCACTAGATCAAACAAGTGGAATTAAGGTGCTTTATGTATTTGTGGATATTAAAATAGAGCCGTTACACTTTATAGACAGTATAAAGATTAATTTTGAAACAAAAACTAAAATATTTTTAATGAGTACAATCCAATTTGTAACGACCATACAAAGGTGCAAAGGGATTTTACAAGAAATGGGGTACGATGTTTCAATTTCTCAGTTTAAACCATTGTCACCTGGGGAGATCCTTGGTTGTACAGCACCTACCGTAACTTGTGCAGATGTTATAATCTATTTAGGTGATGGACAGTTTCATTTAGAGGCAGCTATGATAGCTAATCCAAAAATTCAAGCATACAAATATGACCCATACAGCAGGTGTTTAACGAAAGAATATTACGATCATAAAGAAATGCAGCAGACCAGGATGAAATGTATTGGAGATGCACAGAATGCTAATACTTTTGGGGTGATAATGGGAACTCTTGGAAGACAGGGTAGTCCCAAGGTTGTAGATTATTTGCGGGAACGTCTAGAAAAGGCCGGCAAAAAAGCTGTCGTTATATTACTTTCTGAAATTTTTCCAAGTAAATTAGACTTGTTTACAAAATTAGATGCTTTTGTGCAAATAGCATGCCCTCGACTGTCTATTGATTGGGGAACTGCATTTTCAAAATCATTGCTAACTCCGTATGAAGCAGCGATAGTTACTGGAGAGTCAAAATGGCACAATGAAGATTCAAATTATCCTATGGATTTTTATGCAAACGCAAGCCTAGGCCCATGGACTCCCAATCATAAGCCTGATGTAAAAAAACCGTGCTGTGGAAAATGTTCTTAATATTTGAGAATTAACACAATTGTTAAATTAATTATGTTTTAGTCTTGTAGATATTTTTTTTAATAAAAAAACATTCAAAGTTTGAGGTATTTAATTGGACAACACTTAATCAAGAAAGAAATTTCCAGTTACAAAATTTAATACATGCTGTAGTTAACAATATAAAATTGTTTCATTCAATTTTTAGATTTACCATAGACCTTTCTAAAGACATCAAGTCCCAGATAACAAGTTGGCCATCTGATCCAGAAGTAGAAATTTTAGTAGCCTTCTCCNCTTTTGTGCAAATAGCATGCCCTCGACTGTCTATTGATTGGGGAACTGCATTTTCAAAATCATTGCTAACTCCGTATGAAGCAGCGATAGTTACTGGAGAGTCAAAATGGCACAATGAAGATTCAAATTATCCTATGGATTTTTATGCAAACGCAAGCCTAGGCCCATGGACTCCCAATCATAAGCCTGATGTAAAAAAACCGTGCTGTGGAAAATGTTCTTAATATTTGAGAATTAACACAATTGTTAAATTAATTATGTTTTAGTCTTGTAGATATTTTTTTTAATAAAAAAACATTTAAAGTTTGAGGTATTTAATTGGACAACACTTAATCAAGAAAGAAATTTCCAGTTACAAAATTTAATACATGCTGTAGTTACAATATAAAATTGTTTTATTCAATTTTTAGATTTACCATAGACCTTTCTAAAGACATCAAGTCCCAGATAACAAGTTGGCCATCTGATCCAGAAGTAGAAATTTTAGTAGCCTTCTCCTTTGTACCAGTATAAATGCAAAGGCAGGTGATAGCATTCTGGTGGATAGAATCCAAATTGGTATCGGAAGTTTCAGTTCTCGCTTGTTTATCCAGGGAATGGAACATCCTCATAGCTGATAATCCGCCACTCTCTTTTTTCTGAGAAGCATCTAATTTCTCGACAAAGGTTATTTGACTGTTCTCATCAATCTTGTAGAGAATAGGTATGCAACTATACCCTGCAGCTATTACCGATCTATTTGTGATCCAAGTACAGCTAAAGAACGGTAAAAATTCTGTACGCAATTTAAACACGCCATTTCCTTTTGTAGCATCGGCCACATTAATGGATGAATCATGGGCCACCTAAAAATATAATATACATGGTGTTTTACATAAGAACTGACACAGAGTAGAGGCATGAAGGGGAAATATGGCGATTTAATGCAACTTGGAAGTTATAGGCCTTGAAAGTGGGGTTTTAAATTTCCAAAAAATAAGTTTTAGAATTAAATTCCCCATAAAATAAAATAATTATTTTTAAGTCCGCCAACAGGTTGAAAAATTCTGTCAGATTTTGGTGCATCATCCCTTATCAACCCTTTAAAATGCTTCAGTTGAACTCTACTTACTGTCGACTAGTGTTCTTGCTACACTAACACCATGTACTAAATTTGGTTTTTCTAAGTTCAAGTATAATTAATATTGATTTTTTTCGAAATTTGAAACCTCGCCTATAACTTCTCAGGGGTGCAGCTAAGTATAAAGAAAAGACTTACAAAAACAATAGTTTTGATTAAGTAACAAAAATTTGCAAAAATAAAATTAAGATATAAAAATTCTATAATACAGAAAACCTACTGAACAAAGCTTTCATTTTGGTCGTAAACATACATACCCAACAAACTTTATTGCCATCTGGTGAAAAACTAACACTGTGCACCCAACCACCCCCAGCATCAGAATTAATAAATTCTGCCATTAATTGTCCAAGTGGCATTTTGGTACCCCAAGGTGTTGGTTCTGGGGTTTTTTCTATATCTTTGATATAAGCTGAGAAAATTCTGACTTTGAAGTCGGATGATCCAGCTGCAAGCAGTACATTATTGGGATGCCAATCGAGTGAAGTAACAGTAGAACGAATAGGTTTCTTAATATGTTTGGAAACCCACCAGTCATTTTCAGATTCAAAGTAACAAACTGATATAAGTCGAGCTCCTGATCCCACAGCAAATTTATTTTCATCTGGAGACCACTTAACACATGTAGCGGCACGGTTTATTCTCAATAGTACTAAGGTTGGCTTCCATTTTTGATCCTTATCTTGAGTCCATACATAAGCATTTCGGTCAGCAGCACATGTTACGATTCTATTTGTATTAGGGGCCCAATCAATTCCCATCACACGTAAGTCATGTTGATTGAGAATATCCAATATTTTCCAATCAGAACCGTTACGTTTATATACATGTACTTCATGATTATTTGGCGACTGAGCTATTTCTAAAAAGTTCAATGTGGTTTTAGGAATCAGACTATTTTCAAATGTAAATTGTAACATCTGACAAAAAAGGGTAAGATTTTAAATAGTTGGTAACTTACGAGTTTTATCTTTGTTCCAGGCATGGCATGTTATGGGGCTTACATTATTCCCAAATCTATGTTGTTCAGTCATCTATAAAAAATGAAATGGGTGTGTCAAATTAAAGGGGTTGATAAGGAAAATTAGAAAAAAAAATACCTACCTTCAACTCTAATTCGCGGACTCTGGTCAGTCAACACGAATAATTAAACGAAATATTCAAGTGATTTTTAAATCTTATTATTTAAAGTGTTATAAAATAACACCACTAAAGCCGTTGGACATAAATAAATCTGACAATGACAGTGACGTAAGTGACAGTAACAGAACTAAAACGGAACAGAACTAACAGAAGTGACAGTGACCGACATTATTCCATGGCTAGAAATTGGACTCAATGATTTGGGATCGAGGGGGATTATCCCTCTTTATCCTGCCTCATCTCGTGTAGGCCTAGACAGCCTTCGTAGGTGGGCCCCATCCGTCGTCTACCCCGCCCACAAATACGGCCGGTGTAGGCGCTTTGTGGGACCTCCTTTTGTCCTGGCTGGGCCCCGCCGCCTAGGGCCCTTTCTTCTGGCGCTCTTCTTGCTTCGCCGGCTCGTCTGTGTAAACCCCGGGGGTAGTGTCATGTTTATGTGTGGTATGGTTGGGTAGGGTAGTGCGGCTATGCAGCCTGGGATGCGCTTTGCTAAGGTGGCCCTTAGGCTAGCGCGGGAGGGGAGGG